TGAGAAGGGGGGCCGTTTGGGGGGGGGGGGAGTTTTTTTAAAAGGAGGGGTCCGGGAAGATTTTAATTAACCCCCTGGGGTTTTTTCAAAAATTTGATACCCCTTTCCAATTTTTTTCCTTTTTTATTCCCCCCCCCCCCGCCCCCAAAAAAGTAAAAGGAAGGTTCCGGCCTTGTTCCCCGGGGGGAGAGGGTAGTTTTATTGGGCCTTAGAAATGGGGTAAATTGGGGGGGATGGAATATGAATGTTTGGGGAAAACTTTTTGGACCCCCTTTGGCCATGATAAAAAGAAAAAAGGGCCCTTGGGTGTTGGTCCGGGGGAAAAACCCCCCCTTTTTTTGGGGGAGGGGGGCCCGGGGTTTTTTCCCCAAGGGCAGGGGACCCCCCCCCCCCCCCCCCCCCGGCGTGCAAAACATAAGAGTACGCCCCCCCCCCGCCCCTATTGTTTGCCGTTTCAGAGGGAGACGTCTGTAAGGTGCGCTACTGCGCCAAGTTTAAGAGCGAGGTCAAGATTGACAACGCTCTGGTTAAGAAAGATTGGGTGCCGTTTCCCGTGGGCGGCCGCCTCGAGTTCCTCGAGAACCCGGTGGAGGTGAGACAGATCACTGGGAACAGGTTATTTGCGACCGTGTCAGGTCTGGACGGAACGACTGCCCGTTTGGATGGGGTACTGTAGGCGTGGTTTTCGTGATCATGCACGATGCATGTCACCTACCAGTCTTTGGATCATAGACCTCAGGGGGACGATTTTGGAAGTCTTAAAGTCGCCATCTTGTTTTGTGGGGGTTAATGCAATTGTGGCTGAAACGGTATCTCACGGAAAATGAAAATCACAGAAAAAACTCTCAAGTTTGTTTACATGGGTTGAGTTTTTACACTTCGTGGGGGTGGTCTGGTACATATCGTTGTGGCTCGTTCGTCCTTTGTGGTGTTTGTGACGGCTGCGTATGGTCACTCTTTGGTATGTGCGCTTCTTTTTTGTCGCCCTGTGTAGAGCCGATGAAAGAGGCTTTTGAGTGTTTGGCAGCTGCTGGTTCCCCTTCCAGACTATGTATCTCCCGCTTGTTGTTTGTGATCTCTGAAAGGGGGAGCCACCCCTTGCCCAAGTCTTTTGTTGCCCTCACCGTGTGCGTCATCGATCGATGGTCACAGTACGTAGACGAGCGTCGACATTCCGACGCCACCTATGCTCACCTTGCCGTTTATTTTGTCTCGATGCTCGATGCCTATTTGTCTCGATGCCACGTCAGGCGTTCCCATATCGGCTGGAGCGATATTCCACGGCATCCTCAGCCACCGCTGCTGCGGAGGCCAGCGGCAATACCGCGGCCGTTGCGTGCGACCAGCACCAGGAGATAACCACGCGGCTAGCCTGCCCCATGTGCTACGTGAGTCAGTCTTGGCTGTTTCCTTCGAGAGCTCGGCCACTCAACGATGGCTTCGTTAGTGATTCAGTTGGGTAACCTCTAAAGTGAAAATAGTTCGCAAGCTTTTGTAGAAGTGCTAAGCACATAGTCATGAGTACACACGACAAACAGGGGGGCTGTTGAACCTTTCGCGCGGTAAGAATTGTACCCAAGCACCGAGAAAGAAGGTGCTGTGTGATCCCCGCTTGTGTTGAGTTGGGGGGCGTCCGCGCAGGTAGTGGATCAGAGTGCTAGCGTAACGCGAATTGTTTCTTCAAGCATCATCCCTGACGTCTTTTGCATCTGCTACCACAGTTGCCCTTCTGTTTCTGCAAGACTACAGTAAATACTCCTGACGCTCTGTTGCTGTTATTGCCTGCTGCTTTTTCTGACACTGCTTGCTTCCGTACCGTCTGCGTGCTGCACTATTGTCTCCTCGCGGGATAAACAACAACTGACGACTATTATTCAGGACCTGTTCGTCGATCCCATCGAGCTTGACTGCAAGGGCAAGCACCTGTACTGCCACAGTTGCATCTACGACCTCGTGAAGAACGGATCGTGCCAAAACAAGTGCCCCATTTGCATGACAAGCATCTCCTCCTCAACGCGAAAAAAAATCCTGCAAGCTGGGTGAGTACCGCTGTAGGGTGTGTAGCCAGGAAGCTACGCCTCTTATTTGCCGCGACTGGGTTTATCAAGGAAGTGTTAAATCGCCGGTATCACGAAAATCTCTGGGTTCCTTCTTCGCTGCACAATTGAGCCTGAAATAGTGCTGTGGGTTGGCACAAGGCGAGAGCCGTGTAGATGGACGTATCGAGTTCGCTTACGCACCCATGAGTGTTTCATTTTTCTAGTCCGATGTGTGGAGACCACCTTCCCAAAGATATCTCCCCAACGTCTGTCGAGGACGATTCCCTCTTTTTTTTGCAATGGCGTCGACGAAGAGATGTCCGAGTGTTTCTTAGGACGCGAGATTCCGTTGCCCTAGCTAGACGATCCCGACGAAGCTCAACCGAATATTGAGTCCTACGTCGTTGACAAAGTGGTAAGCCACAAGAGTGGTAGGGGGACCGAAAACCCCGTACAACTGCAAGTCGGTTTCGTTTGCTTCTTCGAGGATACGGCCCTGAGTTCGACCTTGATTGTAGAGCAGACGAAATTCCACAATGTCAAGAAATGATACTAGCTAGCTGCCTACCGAATCCGTGGTAGTTTGGAAGTCTCACTTCTGCTAAAGCCTTATCATGTTCTTGACTCCAACGTTCTGCGATCGATTTTACATGCCCTCTCTGTGCGAGTTCGACCAGCGGTGCGATCACCGTAGAAAGGTCGGGTATAAATTTCCTCACATAGTTAGTCGTTCCCAGCACTGAACGAAGTTCTTTCATCGTTTTGGGTGTAGGCAGGCCGACAATAGCTTTGATACGATCTTCCCCAATGCGAATCCCCTTTGGAGACAGTATGTGACCCAAGTACTTTACTTCTTTTGGCCCAATCCGGTTGGCAAACACGGTATGTTCAAACAAGGCAGTCATCAAGAACCTTCAAGCGGAAGTAAAGAAGCTAAAGTCGATGCAGCAGCCCGATTACCGTGCGGCCCAGCAAGGAGTTGCGAAGAAGGCGCGCGCATCTTCGACATGGGCGGTTCCACCTCTGCTCCAAGGCAGAAAGAAGAACCATGCCCTTATCCGGGATGCAAATACCGCCACCTCGAAAAAAATGCCGAATTTTTCATTGCAT